AGTACAAGTTCGTCAAAAATGTGGTTGTGAATCCAGAAAATGTATGAGTATGACCTCAGTTATAAGAATGTGGTTGTCACTCCATTAACCTAAATAACCTAATTAAATAACCTAAATGTGTATTAAAACAACTGCATGAAAGACTTAGATACAGGATTGACAATCGTATTCTGTTGCCATGAAAACAAGGTCGAATAAATGTGTGGCATTTTAAACACCTCTTCCTTCACACATTTGTTCCTTCTGCCACACTTCCTTCCCTTTACTCAGCTCACTCAGAATAATCATATGCAAAATATGCCAATGCAAATGAATTAACCGTTATCTGTGGTATCGAAATGTCTCAGACTAGTACAATAGTCTCATGTCCAAAGAAATAGACTAAAAGCTAAAAAAAAGTTAGAGTTCAGAGATATTTTCTTGCATACAAATTACCTGTTGTTCCTCAACGGAGGAAGCTGGTCTTTGATCCTAGCCAATGCACCTTCCAACTGTTATTTCATGCATCCATTTGGAGAATGTTTATCTTGGTCTTTGTACTCAAGGAAAGGTTTCAAAAGACTAATATTTTATGTAATTATGTAACCAGATATATTTCATACTCTTCAAACTATGTATCCTTCTGAAGTCAGGTATGCATCTTTTACTCTTGGATTTACCTTTGAGAATTTGACGTCTTGATTATCTCTGAATTGACTACATTGGCATGATACATGTTTCCCTGAATAATAATAAATTGCTACATTTGATATTATTCTGACTTATTCTGAAATGATTGGCTCTAGTAGATTTTGTTAAATCCACCCAGTGTTTTTTTTAATCCCTATAAATAATATCCCCTTTCTCAAATCAAGCCGTTCTCAGATGCTTGGCTGTGTGACATCACACAGACCCAGGCCCCTCCCCACGATTGTTGATTGACACTGGTGTTTTACCTTAGACCCACCCTGAGTGAGCTGTCATCAGTCCGCCATTGTTTTGAAGCCGGAGCAGAATGTCTCCTAAACGATTGAGGTGTTTTGTTGTTGGATGTAATAATGAATATACAGTGGGACAAATAAGTATTTGATACACTGCCGATTTTTCAAGTTTTCCCACTTACAAAGAATGGAGAGATCTGTCATTTTCATCGTAGGTACACCTCAACTGTGAGAGACAGAATCACAAAAAAAAAATCCAGAAAATCACATTGTATGATTTTTAAATAATTAATTTCCATTTTATTGCATGAAATAAGTATTTGATCACCTACCAACCACCAAGAATTCTGGTTCTCACAGACCTGTTAGTTTGTCTTTAAGAAGCCCTCCTATCCTCCACTCATTACCTGTATTAATTGCACCTGTTTGAACTCGTTACCTGTATAAAAGACACCTGTCCACACACTCAATCAATCAGACTCCAACCTCTCCACTATGGGCAAGACCAAAGAGCTGTCTAAGGACACCAGGGACAAAATTGTAGACCTGCACAAGGCTGGGATGGGCTACAGGACAATAGGCAAACAGCTTGGTGAGAAGGCAACAACTGTTGGTGCAATTATTAGAAAATGGAAGAAATTCAAGATGACTGTCAATCTCCCTCGGACTGGGGCTCCATGCAAGATCTCGCCTCGTGGAGTATCAATGATCCTGAGAAAGGTGAGGGATCAGCCTAGAACTACACGGGAGGACCTGGTCAATGACCTGAAGAGAGCTGGGACCACAGTCTCAACGGTTACCATTAGTAACACACTACACCGTCATGGATTAAAATCCTGCAGAGCTCGCAAGGTCCCCCTGCTCAAGCCAGCACATGTCCAGGCCCGTCTGAAGTTTGCCAAAGACCATCTGGATGATCCAGAGGAGGCATGGGAGAAGATCATGTGGTCAGATGAGACCAAAATATAAGTTTTTGGTATAAACTCCACTCCCTCGGACTGGGGCTCCATGCAAGATCTCGCCTCGTGGAGTATCAATGATCCTGAGAAAGGTGAGGGATCAGCCTAGAACTACACGGGAGGACCTGGTCAATGACCTGAAGAGAGCTGGGACCACAGTCTCAACGGTTACCATTAGTAACACACTACAGATTTTAATCATGGATTAAAATCCTGCAGCGCGCGTAAGGTCCCCCTGCTCAAGCCAGCACATGTCCAGGCCCGTCTGAAGTTTGCCAAAGACCATCTGGATGATCCAGAGGAGGCATGGGAGAAGGTCATGTGGTCAGATGAGACCAAAATAGAAGTTTTTGGTATAAACTCCACTCGCCGTGTTTGGAGGAAGAAGAAGGATGAGTACAATCCCAAGAACACCATCCCAACCGTGAAGCATGGGGGTGGAAACATCATGCTTTGGGGGGGCTTTTCTGCAAAGGGGACAGGACGACTGCACCGTATTGAGGGGAGGATGGATGGGGCCATGTATCGCGAGATTTTGGGCAACAACCTTCTTCCCTCAGTAAGAGCATTGAAGATGGGTCGTGGCTGGGTCTTCCAGCATGACAATGACCCCAAACACACAGCCAGAGCAACTAAGGAGTGGCTCCGTAAAAAGCATTTAAAGGTCCTGGAGTGGCCTAGCCAGTCTCCAGACCTGAACCCAATAGAAAATCTATGGAGGGAGCTGAAACTCCGTGTTGCCCAGCGACAGCCCCAAAACCTGAAAGATCTGGAGAACACCTGTATGGAGGAGTGGGCCAAAATCCCTGCTGCAGTGTGTGCAAACCTGGTCAAGAACTACAGGAAACGTCTGACCTCTGTAATTGTAAACAAAGGTTTCTGTACCAAATATTAAGTTCTATTTTTCTATTGTATCAAATACTTATTTCATGCAATAAAATGGAAATTAATTATTTAAAAATCATACAGTTGTGATTTTCTGGATTTTTTTTTTTAGATTCTCTCTCACAGTTGAGGTGTACCTACGATTAAAATTACAGATCTCTCCATTCTTTGTAAGTGGGAAAACTTGAAAAATTGGCAGTGTATCAAATACATATTTGCCCCACTGTAGCAGTCATCATTTACTCCAGACCTCTGAGCCGCTGAAGATGCAGTGAATAACCTTTGTTTTTTAAGGGAATGCTCCCCCAATCTACTTAAATGCACACTATGTTCGCGTGAATCATTCATGATCCAGCCTCACAGAAGAAGCGAGTATAAGGTTCTTTTATGAATCTTTGCAAATCGCCTTTCATAATAACATGCTAGTTAGCAAGTTCAGCGGCTAAAGTAAACAGTCTCATGAGAATGGCTCGTCAGCCCAGGGAAGAGAGGGGCGGGGTGAGCAGAGCTCATTAGCATTTAAAGAGACATGCACTAAAATGGCTTGCTGTGTGCAGAGCTGTTTTTGGCAAGGTAAAAAGGGTGCTGTTTTACACTACTTTTACACTAGACTTTTCATTAAGACAGTAAAGAATCATATCAACTTGTGGAAAATGGGCATCTGATGACCCCTTTAAGTACAAACTAGAACTCATGTTAGATGGAGTATGGGTAGGGTGGCCATATGTGCCATTTATATGGGACACGTCCTGGCCAGGATTTTTTATATTGCCTAAAACATTCAAAGTAGTTTGACCAATAACATGAAAGCATAAGGAACCATCTTGCGCTGCTCTCTATAGCTCTCGTGAAATAATGTCATACAACGATCGATCTGCACAGTGCTGACAGCCAAAACCTGGATATTTTAGGCAATATAGAAATCCTGGCAAGGGTGCGTCCCGTAAAAATGGCCCGTATGGTCACCCTAAGTATGGGGCACATCAGCCGAGATTCTAGATTTCTGACTAACTTGTTATGCAGATGCATTCACTATGAAGGGCTACACAATAATACTATTGAAAGAATGGAAAGCATGGCCATTATTTCATAAATAATTTCACAAGCCATAACTTCTGGTTACTTTCTCAATGTAATTCAAGTTGTTATATAGTTATATTAACTATAGGGGCTAGACAAAAATACTATTGAGGTATTAGCAAGCATGTGACGACATACTTCATAGTACTAGCCATAAACTCTGATTATTAATTGAGCTTTAACTAAGTTTATACTTTGGCGACTGTATGGGACTAAACAGAACTACTATTTAAATATCAGCATTCATGTATGGCCTATTAAATGGTATTATTCATAACCTCTGGGTAATGATCAGACTACAGAGTTTGTGACTGAGATTTGCAGTAACGGTTGGTGAGAGACTCTGAGAAACATATTAGCGTGTAGTTCCAAACCCTGTTTTTAACCCAGCTGTATACGTCAGGAATGTATACGTCATTTTATGAATACCCAGGATTTAGTTTGTTAACCCCTGGTAAATTATGACCAATGTGAAACAGGAAGCAAGACAGACCAGAATTTCTTTTAGTCAGGGTTTAGTATGACCTAGGGTTAACTATTTCAAGTGTGAAAATATTTCTATAGATTCCTAATGAATGAGCGCAACTTAAAAGTATTTGAATGGACCTTACAACAGTGTGCTCTGCATAGACAATTGGATATTTTTCTCTAATGTATTGGACTTCTATATGAATATTTCATTTAACAGTCTTATTTTTGTGGCAATCAACAACAGCACATATTAAAACTGAGGTCATAGTTGACTTCTTTTCTTGCAGATACTTCTGGCTTATGTACTTGTCGCTTCTACAATGATTTTTAGTTAGATCGGACATGGAAAAACCATACAATGAAACTAGAGACTAGCAATTATTCAGTCAAACTTTATATTTTAATCTTTTTTTATATTTAATATTTAATTTTTAAGGCATTTTGTTTTTATAACTCATTATTTTATAAATATCATTGTTTTTGAAAATGTTGTAAAATGTTTGAATATTCCAGTGCCATAAAACGGTAAAATCATCTGATATTTTACAAAACTATTTTACTGATCTTGACACAGTCTGTGTACATTTGTATCATTCCCCCCACACAGTGGTCAGAATAGACGTCTAAATCCTGGAAGCATGGAGAAAATAGTCAAGAAGCCTGAAGCAATGAGGTTCACCTTAGGTGGAACATATTCAAAAGATGTATCAGGTGACTCATTCACAGAAGAGAGGACTTTCTTTGCACTCGTCAGCTGGGCCAGAAGTAATTTCTGTGGAGATCCACCCACAAAACAAAATGTTTTAGGTTTCAGAATATTGCCTGAACAACTTATATGGAAAACGTAATTGATAAATTCAGTTATCACTTTGCTAAATTACAGTATAATGAAATTTGTGAGTAAAAAGGCTTATACCTGTTTGTACTGTTCATTTTCATCTTTGACTTTCTGGTTCTGATAATTAAGTTCTCGCAGTTTTTCAATTTCATCTTCCTGTGACAAAGCAATATATATATTTATATGTATTTATTTATTATCCTCCTATTTTTAAACGTTCACTGTTTTACTTGGCGAATGATGTCATGTTTAATAGGTAACTCTGACATAATGAGTGCAATAAGACAAAGCCTGCATACCTCATCAACCCAAAAAATTCTCTTTTTTCTAGGGCTGCACGATAAATTGCATGTGACTGTCATGCGCATCTTGTCAGTAAAGCCGGTTCTGAGATTAGTAGTAAATCTCCATCACGCGCTTTCAGATGGAGCGGCATGTAATACAAAGAGCCGTAGATCACTGACAAGCTACGCAATATCGTGTTCATTATCGCAGATGAATCGCCTTCGATTATGAACGCGATATTGCGTAGCTTGTCAGTGAACTATGGCTCTGTGTATTAAATGCCACTCCATCTGAAAGCACGTGATAGAGATTTACTACTAATTACAGAACCAGCTTTACTGACAAGATGCGCATGACAATCGCATGTGATTTATCGTGCAGCCCTACTTTTTTCATTGTACTTTACATATTACACAAAGAAACTACTTATACCCAGATTCAACAATCATTTTTGTTACAGAACAACCAGTCTATGGAGGGCCAAATTACTCCAAATTAAATCATTAAATAAATGCTGAAATATACAAATCGTTAAATGCATAATTAAATAATTAAATGCATAAATAAAAATGCATTTATTTCCTCAACATTTCATTTTCAGGGTTACGGTTGTAGGCATGTCACTCAACAATAGTGGGCATCACCTTTCAAACTCAATTTCTTTGGTCTTTCTAGTTTAGGCACATTTTTCTTGTTTTTAGCATCACGAGCTATGGCTGAGCATGGTACAGGAACGGCTCGTTTCCACCGAGCGGTATGGTTCAGAACAGTACAATGTCATTCTCACACGAAGAAGAAAGAGCGACAATATCCGTTTCTCAATACCAATTACGCAAAGTTCAGACTTGCATCCTTGGTAGTTCGAACTTGGCAAGTTCGACTCGGGAGTGCGAACTCCTGAGGATGGGAGGACTCAAGTCCAGTAATTCTGCAAATGGAACAGCAGCGTAGGTTATCTGATAACGTCACTCAGCTCACCTTGGCTCCGGTTATCCGCACTATATGTATATTTACCATAAAATGAAATATGTCAAACACCACTGCCTCTTTTCCGTTTTCATTTGAACATATCAATAATAGCAAGTTCAGGCAATGCGTACATACATTACAATAAAACAAAATAGGATATCAAACACCACTGCCTCTCTTTGTTTTCATTTTAAAAATATAAAACATTAATATGTGGTTCAGGAAATATGCATATATGCTCTGATTATCTTCACTGTATGTATGTATGATAAAATGAAATAATACAAAGCACAACTCTGCCTCTTTTTGTTAAATGTCAATTTTAATGAACAATAATAGCCATTATAAAAGTATAAGTACAAAGTATAAGAGGCTTATATAATAGGAAATAAAGACAAAAGCAAACAATTAAGTCAAACGTATGCTACGAAGTCAGCACTGTACTATGGTAAACTTAAATATATAAAGTTATGAAACAACTTTGTGCTCAGCCAAAACGATATGACCACGAACAAATAATAGATTCATGAGACCAAAGATTACCTGTTAGATATAGCCTACCAAAAACAAATTATATCTCATGTTTAACCACTACAGAGACATCAGAGCCAGTGGCACATGTCAGACGGACTAGCCAAGGTAAGGCTGCTCTCAGTAGGATACATGAGCACTAAGCGCCCTCTGATCGACTGGAGCTCACATCTCCAAAATCGGCATCAATTTTCAAATTGGTGCTCTCTTTATAAATAAACCACAGATTTGAGTTTTAAACAACTACATTCTCGCCTGAAAACTCTTAAAACTACATTTCACAACACAATAACACAGTAGTATTTTGAAAATTTTGCGGGTTTTTGGGCAATGACTGATGTTTCACAAGTATAGACAGTAACGCATATTGAGAAACGGCTATTGTATGCGTGTGAAAATAGAAAATTATAAAATACACTGTTACATATTTTTGTGTTTGCGCACTCTGATGTAAATAAGCCCAACACTCATAGACAGCAAAGCGGAACGAGTGAAGGACGCTTTATCCCCTTGTATAACGCAAAAGTGACGATTCTAGTCAACCAATCAACGTTCTGCGGTGAGTTTAGCTCCACCCTTTTAGTACCCTCCTACATTTCTCCAAATCTGTTACAATGAAGAAACTCATCTACATCTTGGATGACCTGAGGGTGAGTACATTTTCAGCAAATCTTCATTTTGGGGGAACTATTCCTTTAAAAGCAACATAAAACACAACAAGTAGCCTCAACAAAGGTTGTGTGACTTCAGAAATCTTTTGACAGGATGTCAAAAACGAACAGTACCAGTTGTCAGGAAGCCCCCTAGTCAATCCACATAAGACTATCTTCCAGTTCTGCTAGACTGAAAGACAACACTTATAAAAACATCCTTACAATCCGCTGGAAATTCTCGCTCTGTGCGCTATGGCTTTCAACACTTTAATACAGTGACGATGCTTTCACATTCAGGATATCAGTGCCATTGTATTGTAAAACCACACACACGTACACACACACACACACACACACGTTAAAAAAAAAAACACAAAGAACAAAACTGCCTTAATTACACCACATAAATTATATATAAAAAGTTCCCGTGTGTACAGAACAAAAAAGAAAAACAAAGAATGATAACTGTAGGTGCCTGAGTCGAGGTGAATCACAACGTTCCTGTGACAAAGGTACAAACACGTTAAAATTCGCAGGTTTCTGATCACCGTGGGATCCAGAATGGCTATTTAAATCTTGAATACACTTGGCCAGTGAACAGCGGTAAATATCCTGCTGCTTTACAATAAAGGCCCTTAAAAACAACATACTGTACTCTCTCGAAACATCCTACTAGATCCCTCGAGACAAAGAAGACTAGCTTCAACAGACATTCCTAGTCTCACAGACCACCAAAACTCACATAAAACCAGATCAGCATTGATTGTCAATAAGAAGGACACATCAGCTGCTGGTCATCAAGGGCCAATACATGAGATCATGCTCTGATTTAGAGACAAAAAGCTCCTTTTGAAAAAAATCAACTTGGCAACCTGCAGATATACGAGGCGAATCTCAATGATGTGATGATGTCAGCTGCCTCCAAGAGATCTGATTGGTGACCTGATAATACAAACACTGATCACGGTGACAGAAAAACTGCTCGCCACGAGTTTTGAATCTTAAAACCATGTGAGTGCAGCTGCTTTTAGATAGACTTCAGATTATTTGAACACCAAAAAAATACTTAAAATCCATGCTTACAAAAAAGAGAGAAAAAATCAAATGTTTTGAAACAAAACATCAGTAATTTTACCATCAAATATACAATCTCAAGAACAACAGCAATACTTAGAATCCTGACGGAAGTAATAATCATATATAATCAATAGTAGTAACAATAACAATAAATACAATAATAATAATGATATTTTTATTAAAACATGATCTACTGTATTTGGGAGTACCTGGGCACAGGGGGCATAAGGCCAGTGAAGACGAGCGCAAAGGCAATCGTGCGGGTTATTATAACTCTAGACGGGAACCTGGAGTCTATGATCGCTCTCGATGATTAATATATGTAATCTTGAGTCTTGGGATAAAGACGTTCGGTCGGGAGCGTGCTGGGTGGAGTCAGAGGTGAGGGTGGTTCTGGCAGAGAGATAACTGTTGGTTTGCATGCAGGGGAGGACGGCTGTGTCCAGCGTTGGAAGGCTGGAGGTTTCGGAGCGCTCCGACGCTGGACCTATCAGTCCTCCTTGTCACTCGCATCTAATGTATCTGTTGCAGGGCCACTCTGAAATACAAAAACACAGAAATGCTGTTTTTAATCAGCTCACACTGGAGTGAATGTTCTAAAAATATATAAAATATACATAGATTTAAAAATATATTAAAAAATAAACTAAAAGAACTATTTAAATATTATTTTATGTTTTTATTAATGCTTATTAATTATATTAACAATTATAATATAATTAATGGCTCGTTTCCACTGAGCGGTACGGTACAGTATAGTTCAGTACAGTACGATTCGGTACGGGTAACCCTGATCAGGCTTGCGTTTCCACTGCCAATAGTACCCTTACTTGGTAGACGTGGTGTATACCGGAAAGTAGCGATCGACGATGAACCGCAACAATAAGCACAACTCTGCCTCTTTTTGTTAAATGTCAATTTTAATGAACAATAATAGCCATTATAAAAGTATAAGTACAAAGTATAAGAGGCTTATATAATAGGAAATAAAGACAAAAGCAAACAATTAAGTCAAACGTATGCTACGAAGTCAGCACTGTACTATGGTAAACTTAAATATATAAAGTTATGAAACAACTTTGTGCTCAGCCAAAACGATATGACCACGAACAAATAATAGATTCATGAGACCAAAGATTACCTGTTAGATATAGCCTACCAAAAACAAATTATATCTCATGTTTAACCACTACAGAGACATCAGAGCCAGTGGCACATGTCAGACGGACTAGCCAAGGTAAGGCTGCTCTCAGTAGGATACATGAGCACTAAGCGCCCTCTGATCGACTGGAGCTCACATCTCCAAAATCGGCATCAATTTTCAAATTGGTGCTCTCTTTATAAATAAACCACAGATTTGAGTTTTAAACAACTACATTCTCGCCTGAAAACTCTTAAAACTACATTTCACAACACAATAACACAGTAGTATTTTGAAAATTTTGCGGGTTTTTGGGCAATGACTGATGTTTCACAAGTATAGACAGTAACGCATATTGAGAAACGGCTATTGTATGCGTGTGAAAATAGAAAATTATAAAATACACTGTTACATATTTTTGTGTTTGCGCACTCTGATGTAAATAAGCCCAACACACATGAACAGCATGGCGGAACGTGTGAAGGAAGGAGACGCTTTATTCCCCTTGTAGCACGTGCAAGTGACGATTCTACTCAACCAATCAACGTTCCTTTTGCTGTGCTAGGTAACCCAACAGAAGGGTACCAAAAAAAATGGTATGGCAAGGCTAATTTTTATGGTGCCATTCACAACTTCTGACAATGGAAACGGAAATAATTGCGTACTGTACTGTACTGAACCGTACTGCTCGGTGGAAACGAGCCATTACAGTACCATGTTCAGCCATACACTGTAAAAAAAATTCTGTAGTTTTTACAAAATAATTTTGGCAGCTGTGGTTGCCAGAATAATTTTGTAAAAAATACAGAAAAACTGTAAACACATTTACGGCCATTTTACAGTATAAAACTGTAATTTACAAACAAGAAAATTTGAATGTAAACCAGTAAATTCAACAATGCACACTGCTATTAAAATCTGTTTTGTACCTTTAACATACTGACAACCACCATAATAATGCAGGTGGTAAAAGAGAAAGCCACATGAAGAATCAAAGCTCATCACAAGTAGCTTCGCCACAAGCAGAAGTATATACTAATATATAGAAGGTGCACAGAGTCATTCATGCAAACACAAAACACCATCATGGTAACACACATGATACTTAAATAATGCATTAAACTTTCATTAAACAACAGAAGATGTAACATAAAGCCCAAATATACATAACTAATAACCAAAACTATTAAAAAAACATGATTATTTAAACAAAATACTTTCAAATGTGGAGTGTCATGCAGGGAATTCTGGGAATATCAGTTTACAGTTTTTGACTGTAAATTATACATTGATTTGTTATTTTTACTTCTAAAAACTGTCAAATTAACAGCATTTTACTGTAAAATTACATGAAATGTCTGGTTAGATATTTTACAGTTTTTCCCTGTATATAGTATATAGTAACTTACTGTTAACCTATTAACAGTTTTTTTCCGTAGCGTTTTTACAAAATTTTACAGTTAAAATTACACTTATTTTTTAAAGTGTAGTTTGTGATGCTAAAAACAAGACAAAGGCGCCTAAACTAGAATGACCAAAGAATTCGAGTTTGAAAGGTGACACCCACTATTGTTGAGTGACGTGCCGACAACCATAACCCTGAAAATAAAATGTGGAGGCAATAAATAAATGCATAAATAAATACATATTTATTTATGCATTTAACGATATACCTATATATTTCAACATTTATTTAATTATTTAATTTTAAGTAATTTGGCCCTCCATATCAGTCTTATGTTCTTTTCATAAAAGAATATTAAGTTATTAAGAACCTGGTCAAAACGATATATGCAATGTATGGAGACATCCACACCTGAAACTTTAGACGCTGCATTTGCTCGTGCTCCCGTTTAGACACCTCCTCCTGCTGCTCCTTCAGTTCTCCTGTGCCACAGGATTACTCTGGAGCTGACCAAGGAGATACAGCACCTGGACAATACATCAGACACAATGTTTTAAATTAACCATACAATTTGACAATGATGCAATGATGATACTCTTGGATATGTGAGAAAATCTAAATAATTTAAACTTTATAACTTCTATATTATTTCTTACTGAAATCAGCATATTTGTGATATATGCCCCCTTAAAATTGATTTCCAATGTTTTTCCCTAATATAAAATGTTTGCATATTTTTCATATCAAATTCTTAAATTTCATTAATTAATTTACATTTACATTGCAAATTTACAACCAAATGAATAATGCATGAGCTTAGGGTTTTAAATAATTTTTAATACACAAATATGAAAAGTTGGAAAAAATGCAATGATACCTTAAAATATGAGAGTAAATCGGCAGTAGGTGGAAGGGATGCTCCGATACAACTTTTTCCAGTACTTGACCGATACAGATACTTTTAGTTTTGGTACTTGATGATACTGAGTACTGATACCGGTATTTTCATTGTATTTATACATTTTTGAATATTGGGTACAGAAACCAATAAAATATGTATAATGTAGTGCTGTCAAACAATTATTCGCGATTAATCACATTCAAAATAAAAGCTTTTGTTTACATAAGTTGTGTGTGTGGTGTGTATATTTATTATGTATATATAAAGACATTAAAATTAATTATTTAATTATTCAGATTAATCCAGAACGCGGCAGCAAGATTACTTTTTAACGAGCCTAAAAGAATGCACGTCACACCTCTGTTTATCAGTTTGCACTGGCTACCAATAGCTGCTCGCATAAAATTCAAGGCATTAATGTTTGCCTACAAAACCACCACTGGCTCTGCAC